GGCGTGAGCATGGGTGCAGGTGCGGCAGAGTATAAAACCCACACTCACATCCGCACCCTGTGTACACAATGAGTTTGGAAACAAAATATGAAATGGTCAAAATTAAAAATCTGCTTCCGGACGACCATTATTTATTTGGACGGTCTTTTTGTGAAGTCTCTTTAATGTTTCTCGATTGTGTTTCTCATCTTTAGCGTCAAGACGAAAATTCTATCATTAATGCGCGCGTAGGTCTTTGCTCATTTTAACACAATCCATATCGATGCCCGAGTTTAATCTGTGACTACCACGATCTACTACTGAATACCCATGATGATAATAAAATGTCTCAGCATTTAGTGAGGCATCCAGATGCAGTTTATGTGCACCATGTAGTACAGCGAGTTTTTCAAGAATTGCTAAAACCTTCGTTCCAACACCTCGACGAGCAAACGCTGGATCGACATAGACTGCGCGAAGCTCTTGTTGGGAGGGAATGACGGAACCGAATCCGACAATCATATCGTTCTCACTCGACACGGCGACCATAATTAGTTCTTCGTTGTTTTGTATCGCCTGATGCAATTGGTTGAGACGGCGTTCATCTGTGGCTGAAGACGACCAACTTTGAAGAATATTTTGTGTATAGAAGGTTGAGGTTGCTGGTCCGTGAACAGCGGCATAGTGAACACGGAGAATAGCTGCAACATCGGAGATTGTGGCAGAGCGAAGGTTTATCATGAAGAGTGAAGCTAATATTATTTTTTGTGACAGTGCGAGAAAACGGTCGAGATAAGGATTGAAAAATGAGGGAATAGAATAACATCTATATGCTGTGTCTCGCTCTTTATCATTTACGACACTCGTTGAGGTTCTTCCTTCGATAAAAAATAAAAATTACTTTATGATATTCATCATTTTGAATCACAAGCAGTTTGAAATGCCTTATGAATGTAATAGCTATGTCGATAGAGCGTAATATTCTGCATTTCTTTTTAAAATTCGACACTGAAAAATTGTCATAACTTCTATTATTTAATATTGATAAGCCACATTTTCTATGCGTTTTAGTTAGGTTTAAAATTTGTTGTGGATACTATTTGAAATCAAAGCTTTATCTCCAAAGAAAAACATTTTTATCCACCCTGTACAGATTTTCAGAGAAGAATATTAGAAAGTAAAATCTGCAAACATTCAACATTGAAATTTTTTCAATGAAAAGAAGGTAGGTACCCCGATTTGTCTCAAGATGTCGCAAAAATCAAATCTGAGTCAATTATTGTCCAGCCTTTGGTTTAGAAAAACGTGGATTTCGTCCAAATTAAAATCGATTCAAAATGACAGCGCTAATAGATTAATGCCTTATTAGGCTTTGTAATGTCATTAATCGTATCGGTTGCACAGAAAACATACACTTAGATATGGTCTCATGGAAGAGAGAGAGAAATAGAAAATGAAAGATATGACAGACAGGAAAGGCATGCATATATTGTCACAATCGAATATCATTACAAAGAAGAGTCAACACTAAAAAAATGAAGAATTGACTGTTGATGTTAATTAATCGTTGTTGTTGTCCATTCAATCGTTTGGCTAGACTGAGCAAGCATATCCATATCGAGACCATACATGATTAAAATCTAGAAACGAAATATTTTTATTCACCAGTGGATTCGTTATTCGTAAAGCTTCTATTTTGATAGTGTGGCTTGAAACTATTGACATAGTCGATCTATTATTTTGCTTTGGAATCGGCAGTTCAAGAAACTTCTCACAAATAGTTGTCGAATAATTGCAGTAATCCAAAAAATGGAAGTTGCTCAACTCGAAGCTCGTCTTTTTTAGCGAAAGGCGGAGTACATATATCGGATGTTATCAAATCTGACTTTTGATTCATTGTTTAACGGATACATGTTCCTGATCTATAGTTTTCAGTGACTTATACTCAAGTTGCATTTTCAGAAACATTGAGTTATTTAGTATTAGTAAGCAAAGGTTTTTTTATAATTACTAAGTGAATGTACGGAACTGTGTGCTCTGAAGCAGAATCAACAGTTGTAGGTACCCAACGAAAAATCCTTAGCTTAAATGACATACTTGATCGGAAATATCGTGGAAAAAGTCCTTGTGATCCTTTCCATTTACAGTGACACTCGTCACCACTTTGCTAACACCGAGAACTCGAACAAGTTCCAAACGCATCGGTGAATCTTTGTAATTCGCTATGATTGTATTGATGGTCAAGATGTTCTATTCAGTAATAAACATCTAACATACAGTTTCTCTTTCAATCGCTCTACTCACCAGAACGCATGAAAATTCCAAGTAGTTGTAAGCTTTTGCTTCGATTGTGTCTTAATAAGAAATAAAAATGAGTTCTATTGATATTATTATTAAAGATTTACTCACCAATGGTATCACCATCATCCCAAAAGAGATTTCCAGTCGCATTTTCCGATGCTGATTGAGCAACAAGTAAAGTAAATGGATTTCCACGACTAATCATTAAATTTGACCCGGGTATTTGCATCGGAATGATAAAACCCCCTCGAACATGAACATTTATCTTTTCCAGAGGAGCATAAAGATCAGTAAATACACCGACAGCTTTCACTTTAACACCTGATGGAAACTCATACCAAACATCTTGTGGAATATACGCATGCACTGTAGTTGTTTGCTAGAAAAGTTTTGAATGTAAAATAAGAAGGATAGATAATCATATTTACTGAAACAAGATTTGGTGAAACAAGAATGGCACGACCAATTAAAAATTGTTGATCGACGCCGAGTGTTTTGTTGTCATTGGGAAATCTAAGAGATTCATCTAGTTTGAAAAAAGACAAAGAGTCAGAAATAGGGTACTCGAAATGAAGTGGTTGCACTAAAGTTTTTGACAACGTCGCTGCTTGATAATGAAGAGTGTACCAGAATGGAGACAGTGAATATCGCATTAACAATGCTTGTTTCATGATCTGTTGACTTGTCCAAGAGAATGCAGCAGGATCTTGATCCTATATGTGTTTTATAAAGAAATCAGTCAATGGTGTCATTCTGGTCTTGAACGCACCTTATCACCGGCAGCATTGTGATTCCTCATAAAAGGATAGAATGCACCCAATTGCATCCACCGTGTGCATAATTCTTCAGTTGTATCATGAAAGAAACCACAAACATCGACACCGACATTGGGTATACCGAACATGTTGAAACTGAGAATGGCTAGAAAACAAACAAAGAATAGACATGAGCAATTGGACTGTGCATTTTCTCTTCTTTAGAAAATTCTCGATCGATCTTTGCGTGAGAGAAAAAAAACCAGGAAAAACTTTGGTTTTCCTCTTCAAAATCTGGTTTCGAGAAAAAGGAAAAACAAAAACTTTGTTCCGTTTTTTTAGCACAGTTTTTCGGTTTATTTACATCTCTTTTGGAGGTATAAATGTAGATTTTAATCTCGAAACGTGTACATCAGTTAGCAAACATTTCGATCTATGTAATGAATGAAAGTAATGAGAGAATCATTTTCCCACTATCTGATGGTTTTCAATTCTAATAAGATCTTCGTTTCATTCAAAAAGCAAAGGTTATGACTGTCTAAAGATATAGAGGATAAAACGATTAATATATGTTTAAGCAAGGTCGAGTCATTTTTTTCGTATTCTTCTGTATCCTTAAACGAAAAGAAAATCTATTAGAGTCAAACCGGGATTCGTCTTCTTTCATCTGCACATTATGAATATGTACCTGGAATTGAAAAGTACATATCGTCGAACGTTGCGCGATTATCACCGGTCCAATGAGCAGCGTATTGACCAGTGCCGGGAAATGTCGAACGAGACAAAACGAATGGTCGTTTGTTACGAATTACTTTCAGTGCACTAGAACATGAAATAAATCAGTCAATTGAAAAGTTCGCAGTCAGGCATTTACAGATTGGTCGCTTTTGCTTCGAAATAACCGTACATACTATGCAAATTATAATGGGAGGAACTTCCATGCTGTGCAGATGGACATAATGTTTTTGCACTGAGCGAATTGTCGAGTACATCTTTGAACAGGTCTCACAATGCTGAGTTCGATATGTTTTGCAACAGACTTACTTGGAACAAATGGAGGTTTATCTAATGAATTATTTGTACAACCATCAATGGAACCATCAACGCCATTTAATGGTTCATTCTTATCCTAGAAAAGAATCTAAATATATAGGTGACCACTCAAACTTTTTATAAATTGAATATGTTTCATGATTTATATTTCGAGTATAAAGATACATGAGAACAACTACTATTCAATCGTTTATCGTTCAATGAATTCTAAGCATGCATACGTACATTCCAAATACCATCGAACGGAATTATATCATGAAATGCAGCAGCAATATTCGTCCACCATTCAATAGTGCTCGTATTGGTAAAATCTGGAAATACTGTCAATCCTAGTCATGAAAATGATGTTGAGGATTAATCAACCGTATCCACCGACCATTCTTACCTGGTGAAACCTAAAATATATCTACGCACATCGATATACTGTTGCATTAACATGAATAAAAGAATACTTGTCCAATAATTAGTTCAGTTGAATTGAATTTAGTCATGAAAATTGCTCTTTGCAACCCATCATCGTACGGTGGATAGGTTCCAGGTGGTTGTGTTGGACTAATACCCGGATCGATAATATTAACATAGTGCTTACCCTCAGATTGCAACGAACGAACAAGATCTGGCAGACCATTGAAATTGGTTGGATCATAGGTAAAATCAAGATTAGACTTCATTGCATCAATATCTGTCCATTGAACATCATATGGAAATTCAGCATCACGCATTCGCTAATAAATAGAATAAGAAAACTGACAACTACTAGTTTTCATTTTTAAGAATAGTACCTGAATGACGGTTCGCAAATTGTCGATATTGTTGTATCCCCAACGGCATAGATGAAAGCCAAGAGACCAGTAAGGTGGCATAGCAGGTTTCTAAAATTCAGTAAAATAAATGAAATCAAAGAATCTCTTGCTTTTTTTTACTCCGATAACATCCCAATATTGTTGAATGACATCTTGTGCTGTGGGTCCAGTAAATAAATACAAATCGATAATACCTCCAATTGTTGTATAACTAATGGCAGGTAACGGTTGAAGATCAACATCCATCGCATTCGAATTGAGAAAAAAATGTCCATGGAAATTGATTAGTGTATTGCTTGTCATTTCCACATTGATGTGAAATGGGTGAACACCTGACAACAAACATTCATCGAATATGGATCATAAAATACTGATGAACTGGAAAATGTCTTGTGTGAATATACTTACCATACAGATTAACGTTCTGAACTGGATATTGATCACGAGTCCAAAAGGTTAACTTTCTCCATTCATTTGTGACATTGATCAATAATGGTTGTCGATGTTCACCAAGACCATAGAGAAATGGACTGGAAAGATAGCTTGAAAATTTGATGAATTGATCAGCATAAATCAGTGGTGATGTACTGGAATCGAATCTGAAATCGAATACATGCAAGCATCTTTTAATAATACAGCAAATACTTTGTACCACTCAGAAGAATGGTCCTCTTACTATACGAAACAATCGTCCTTCGGTCAATTTTTGAGCATAACGACAAATGCAATCCTAATGAAAAATGTACTCACAATGTCACACCGGTTGATTTTCGTTTGACAAGAATAGCAAACGGTGCTTGACTCAGTGAAACTTCGTAATCAGTGACATTAACTTTTGTTTCAACTACTGGAACCTCAAGTGGTACTTCGAAACGTTTCTTCGTTGAATCATAAATTCGTAAACGAAATCGTTGTGCTGTTTCGTAGAGAAGATCAACTGTCAAATTCAGAATTTCATTAGGCATATAGGTTGTTTGTTGTTTAACAATTGTTAATCGTTGGCCAAAAACAGTTGATTCATTAGTTATTATTTTATATGTTGGAAAATCTCGTGGATAATAACAAGAAGGTACGTTAACTTCAAGAGAATTAGTTGAGCGATTTGTCGGTGAAAAGATCGGTTTCCAGCAACAGTAACGAGCCAGGCATTTTTCTGATGATGCAAATGGTTCAGGGTGACAATCGAAACGTGCTGTTTCCACAGATTGATCACATTGTTGTGCAGATACAGACGAGATGAAAAATATTATCATAATCCATTTTATCATGGAAAAATGTGCCATTCAATGGACACTTCTATCTAGAATTGAACGAAGGAGAGTAACAAGAATAGACATACGAAAGTCAGCTACTGTGGAATTGAATGTAAGAAGCTCACTTTTCTTTAACAATATAAATTCCATCTTTTCGAAATTAGATATCTACCTACGATCGAAATCGTACGTTAGACAGTTTTGAAGTGCATGTGTCTAAGTTTTTCAGATACAGCAAGGCCATAATTTAGATTAAGACTCTAAGATAGGCTCTAAACAACTGCTTGATTTTTAGCTGTCTGAGAGAGAAATAAAAAAATACATCTGTACTGACCACACCGTTACTCTTTACCTGATGATTATTATTAGATTCAACTAAAAAAATCGTGCCGCATAAATTCAATGTATTCTGCCGACTATTTGTGATTCCATGCTTTGAAGCTCAAAACTAGTTCTTCACCGCCTATGTACCGTATATTTAAAGCGATTATTTCAACTAAAAAAAAAACAGTATTTTCTATCTCTCATTCAAGATTGACAGACAGTTAGAGACCACTCTCTATTAGTAAACGAAGATAATTCAAAGTAAAAAATAAAGGTAGATAAGAACATGTTATTGTGCAGATGGTGGTATGATATTTGCCTTTCGAGATAACAGTGTGTAACCTAATATTTTCGGAGTTTTATAGATCTATGATTAGCAGTTTAAATACACACCTGATAATTGAAATACACTATAAAAAACTCATGAAGTAGGTTTCTTTCCAAAAAGGTCGGTTAGAAATCTTAAAAAATCTGACTAGAACGCTAGTAATATACGATTCGATGTGTCTTCATCTCCTCTTTCCAGCTGTAAAAATAGTAGTTCCCTATTTCGTTTCTATGAAAAGTTATCAAAAAATACTCACGTGTCTTTTTTGAAACGAGTATTAATGCAACCGTCACATATCACAAGAAATAGTTCTTTGTCGAAATTTTATTGTTTTGTATTTTCTTGACGGGATATGGCTGTGACTGTGACTATTCTGTGCACTCACACATATATCCACATCCTGAACTGAGATGTTTCTGTCAATGATTAAGAATTATGAACTGCGGAGATAAGTAAAAATTCAAACTTCTTCTGACAATCTCACAATTCTATTTTTATTCATAGTTTTATCGCCAACATTTCATTCAATTTCTAGTTAATGAAACTGTATTCGAGTGTACATCAAGTATTTATATTCATTCACATCTGATAGAACTTGATTTCTTCATACGTTCTCCATAAGCGCAGAAATTATCTCGTCCATTGCTACATGCCATATAAAATATATTACAACGAAAATGAAGAAGATCAACAATATTCAAGAAATTCTCGAACATGCTCAACATTTGTTGAATGCAAATTTGATTCTAGTCAGAAGTTTCATTTAAAGTTCTAGGAGGTCACTGAGTAATTCTAGCCGAAAAGTCGAGACTTTGCACATTTGTATACAACAAGCTTTGATATATGATTGTCGTTATACTGTGTTACAGTTGTAGAAAATTGAGAGCACTTACATTTTAAATCACACAAAAAGCTACCTCTGCTAAATAGTATCCAGCATCTCTAAAAAGGCGTTAGCTCGATCAACCTAGGAGTCATTGCACGAGAGTCACGATCGACCTTGTTTAATCGAAATTTTTGATTTTGATGAAAGTATTCCCATTTTGTAGAGCACATTTTTTTAGGCACATACTCAAATTTTTAAACCTAACCGATCAGTTTTAGCTGCGATATGATGATCCTACTGATAGCACCAAAAACAGGTTTTTATCGATTTTTCATTTATTCAAGAATTTTCCCTAAGTCCTTGTCTAAGATGTTACCACAATGTGTCCTCATGAGTATGAGCTATAATTTTGAAAATTTCACCAGGCATACATTTTGAGATGGGCAATACAACCATCGTATTCAATAAAGCCTACATGAGGGTGGATGGGTGGGTGGGTGAAGAAAAGAGCATCACCCTCACCCACCCACACTGTAAAAAAATAGGTGTTCTACCGAACTTTGAAGGTTTGGTACTGTTTTACCAAATGATTTTAAGTTCCGTGGTATGAAAATCGGGATGTGGGTGAGTGGGTGTGCGTATGAGAGTTCAATTCATTCCATTTCACACTCACACCCACACCAACCACATTCATACCACCCACACCGACACTCGTGCACACACCATCCGCACCCACACCCCACACCCCACTCACACCCACACCCACTCTGTATATCTTTTGTTGTGCTGGCGTAATTACTGTAAATATTATCAGCATACTAAAAGGAAAAGATTTCGTAATAATTGTTATTACCATGATGACACGTAAAATGTCGCAATACTCCTGATTATGGCAAGTAATTCTTGACTTTTATTTACTACTTGGACTGTTCACAGGTAACATATTAAAGTTTTTATAATTTGTGATTCTGGTTTTGAATCAAACTACTGACACCTTAGGTCCTCGTTTCATTTCATGAACTTAATTTCTTTAATGAATGTCGAAAGTGTTGAAAGAAATACATTCGACTAACTACCATAATCTATATATCTATAGATAACATGTTTACATGTTCAAGTGTTGTATCTATCTAAAATCATGCAACAAGACGATAGAACATTTTGTGGTTGGTAGAAAAAGTGCAAGAGTTGAAAGAATTCTGTGTAATTAGTATCTAGTGAAATTTCTAATTTGTTTTAGTAGGAGCACATGAATTAAAAATATTTTAGAGAGGACTTTTGATTTATTGTGAACTCTTTTCTTAGTTATGTCTAATCCTCAAACAATGACAACCAATATTCGTCTATTTGGCAAATGGAGCGCAGCTGAAATTCAAATTTCAGATGTGTCACTCAAAGTATGTTCAATTTGTTTGTTTCTAATAGCACTTGATAGTTTCTTATTAGAATTATATCTTTATTACCAAACAACCTATTTTCCTTCCTCATTCGGCTGGTCATGATCGAACTAAGCATTGCAACAAAGCATTTTATCCAATAGTCGAACGTCTAGTATGTTCACTCATGTTTCACGGACGCAATCAAGGCAAAAAACTAATGGCTATGAGAATCGTACGTGACAGTTTCGAGATTATTCACACACAAACCAACGAAGTAAGCATAAAGTATAAAACAACTGATGTTGGTTCTATCAATAATTTCATCATTCAGAATCCACTTCAGGTGCTTGTCGATGCCATTGTCAATAGCGGACCCCGTAGAAATTCTATTGTTATCGATCGCTTCGGGCTTTACCGACGAGAGAATATTGATGTATCGCCATTGCATCGAATTAATCAAGCACTCAACTTACTATGCACAGGTAATTAATATCATCTTGAAGGAGTAAACATGGAAAAGGAACATTTGAGTACGTCTAAAATAACTCAACTGTTGTTTTTCAAACACGAATTGTTCGAAAATATTTAACAAAATCTTGATTGGAAATGACAGATTAACGCACAACTTTCCTGATATTTTGATATTTTCATCTATGAAAACTTGAACAACTCTTTCGAAACATGTCACCAAATTAGGAAAGTTATGGCAAGATTTAACAGTTCGATCAGATTTTAAAAGTTTGCAGAAATGATGTAGAACGCGACCAGGGTTCCCGATTGTTTTTGGGAGTGGGGGGGGGCTAAAAATATGGCAGAAAGTCCGTAATTTTTTCGCAGAAAGTCAGTGTTATTTCTGCTAAATTTCTTGCAGAAAGTCGATTTTCTTCCTGTCAAATTTTTTGCAGAAAGTCCGACTTTCTGCAAGAAATTTAGCAGAAATAACATCGAATTTCTGCGGAAATTCCACAGAAAGAACATCGACTTTCTGCAGAAATTCAGTAGAAAGGACATCAACTTTCTGCGAGAAATTTGGCTGAAATAACATCGACTTTCTGCGGAAATTCCACAGAAAGAACATCGACTTTCTGCAGAACTTCAGTAGAAAGGACATCGACTTTCTGCAGAAATTCGGTAGAAAGGACATCGACTTTCTGCGAGAAATTTGGCAGAAAGAACATCGACTTTCTGCCGAAATTTGGCAGAAAGCATCTCTAATTTGATTTTATTCCAGCAAATTCAGAAATTTTCTACTGGACTGATCTTTAAAAATTTCGCAGAAAGTATTATCAAAAATTTTGGCAGAAAGTCTAGAATTTTGGGAGGGGAAAGCCCCTCCCTGCCCCCCCCTAATCGGGAACCCTGGACGCGACAAAAAAATTCAAAAGCAGCATATATTAAAGAAATAGGAAAAAGAATCATTGAACATAAGAACTGTATTGTGGATTCTGCAAATCACTCGATTTCTCATGGATTTAAAAACTAGCACAATCTAGTGTCTTAGGAAGATATAATACAATGTATTACTTTATTGCGAATTTCAAATCAAACAACGTATTAGTTATATCTTTATTTTGATGAATACCTATTTTAGGTTGTTGCAATGAGGCATTCAAATCAGCAAAACCAATGGCGGCGTGTCTTGCCAAGGAATTGCTCAATGCTGCTCGAGTATGCTTTTTTTTTAGGAAAAGGAAAATGAATCAGTACATACGCCTAATAAGGTCTGAGCTGAGTTGTAGAAACATGTGACTCATTAAACGTGTTCGATCATGATGATTCTTAATTCGCAGTTTCATTTCTGCTGTTGTAAATGAAATAAATTTAAAACATTCTGAAATATTTCATTTATAATTTTTCTTTAGAATTCATGCCTTTCGATGGCCATTAAACGAAAAGACGAAATCGGACACTTGCCTCGGCAGTCTGATTGAAAATCTTTCAGTACCATAATGTTGATGTTTGTATGTACAAATAACTGTAGGTATGGATACAAATGGATGCAATAATAAGTTCTAGACATGTAAAGAAAAACCATTTGGAAATAAAAATTTGAAATTGGTTTCATCTCTCTTCCTTTTCTATTTCTAGTATGAATGTGAAGAACCTAGCGTCATGAGAAAACTAATGAAATTTCTATGAAAAAGTTTATAGAAATGAATGAAATGATCAGTTTCATTCTTTCATTCTAAATAAGTTTAAGTACATCACTGACACTAGCAGTATGTAACAGGTAGAATGTATACTTTAGTCAGTATTGATGTGCATAAATTTGAAGTAGACTACTGATCTCCAATTTCTTTATTAAAAAATCTATGCTATTAATAAACCATAATCGAGCCGTGATCTATAGAGCAAATGTCCCTAATATCGACAACAAGCCATTTTTTGTCCCTAATATCGACACTTATACAAAATTCAAGCAAAATACAATCTTTTGAGAACAAACAAGTTTTTTACGTCTTTTGATCAGAAAACGAGCAACGGTCACCTGGGCAATTTTGTACAACATGTCAAGATATATCATAATCTAAAAGTTCATGACAAACGAATTTTTTTATAATTAGTACGATAACTTAAGAGGAGGGTGTGGGTGTGGGTGTGGGTTGGGTGGGTGTCAGAATGAAGAATAAAACGTCCACACACCCACACCCCACACTCAATTCGAAAATGAGATTTCGTCGTATTCCTGAGGGAGATCATAGCATTGTTTGAAGAATTACTGTACAATGGAGCATCTCAGCAGTAATGAGCTAACGGCCTGAAATTGTTTTCAGGGTATCCACAACTGATTAGGGTCTACATGACACACATAGTCTAGGCTTCAAAGTAGTTGAGTATTTGAGAGGTTTCCATCATTAATTTGTTTCGAGGAACATTTTTTCAATAGAAAACAAAGTGAATATGAATGTGTTGTTGAAAAAATTGAAGTTCATGATACAATAGCAGCTAGTTGCTTTCTCGAACAGTAATATGAACTTTGTTAAATTTTCGAGTGTTGTTATTTGTATTGAACTTCATTTTTTTGGTTTTACTATTTTCTGCTGATTAAAATAGAATGTATTTAAAAATCAAATTGTTTATGAAATGTGTGGTCTGTCTTTTTTACATTCATTGATTTATTTAATAAAACTATTCTTAACTAAAAAGCAAGTGTTTTTATATTGAATATGCAGGAAGAGGAGAGGAAGGAAGCCGATTTTTACCTAGACGTCTTTATGGATGATTCCATCCTTCTGCTCATGTACGACTGTATACAATTCGTTTTGCTGCCTTTCTCTTTGCTTTGTATGTCTTGCTAATCATCAACTGGTTGAGGTTATTCTTTTTGTCTTTTCCTTGTAGACAAATAATATAAGAAAATATAATGGCAGCAGCAGTCGCTTCATCGGTTGGCGCTGCCATATCATCTATAATAACATTGATGAGAAAGCAAAGTTTCTGTAACAATTTTGTTCCATTAATGGATTATAACCAAGAAGATTCAACGGGTGGTAATCTTGACTGACCAAATAAACCATTAGCTAAATATATATTTCGTCTTACTAGTCTTAAGTTTTATTTCAACATGTATGAATACACCAAAAAAATTTGAATATCATCCATTTCTTCAATATACAATATTCATCATTGATATAATTTGTGCAATTATATTAACAATTGAAGCGGTTGCAAAAATGAAAATTCGAGGAATATTAATTGATAATTCATTTTATTTACATGATCTATCGAATCATTTTGACGCTATTATGGTTTTAAACATCTATTTTTCTATTATCTTACAAGTAAAATTTTTCAATTGTAGTTTTTTTTGTTTTATTCATAATCTCTAATTTTTCTTTTTGTTTATTAGATGTTCGAAATAATTGGTATTATAAACAAATATTCATATCTTACAATAATTCGTTCACCACCTCCATTTATTCTGATACAAGTTCTCAAAACATTTCTCAAATTTAAATTATCTAAAAGTCAAATTAAATCTATTCTTCAGTATGTTAAGAAAAAAGAAACAATTGTTAATTATGTAAACTTTGGTTTTTTTTAATTTATTCGTTTATTATTTTAGACAATTCTAATTCAAAAATTTATAATGTAACAGTGTTTTTTCTATTCTTTATGAGTTTATATACCATATTGGGTGTACAATTTTTTGGATCACTTACATTCCATTGTGTGAGAAATGGTACTGATTTAAAGTATGAGAAAACAAGATTTTTTTGCTTGTTTCTATTTCTTTTTCCGTTTCTTTGTTTAAGTAACGTGACACAGCCAGATCTAATGATACCTGATACATATTGTTCGTCAACAAAAGATGGTTTTCATTGTCCAGAAAATTTTACTTGTAAAAAAATTGAAATTCAACGAAATTTCCGTAGTTATAATGGTTTTGATGGATTAACAACTAGTTTTTTTTTTCATTTTATGAATCAGCTAATCAAGAAGGATGGGTATTTCTTATGTATCGAGCTAGTGTTAGTCTTCCATCATGGCCTGCATTTTTTTATTTTATTACATTAATTTTTTTTCTTGTATGGCTAGTCAAAGTAAGTTTTAAATAGTCTAGAGAATAAAAAAATGTTGCTTCTCGACAAAGATTTAAAACTATTGTCTATTAACATAGAATATAACGTTTTTTAGATTTAATATACGACAAAATTATTTAGGAGTTGCTTCAAGAGTTATCGTTAATTTTATTATTCAATTTTGCGTACAGTCATAAAAAATGTTATTCAATTATATTTTTTTCTTTCCTATAATTTGACATGAATATATAACATTTTGATAAGCTACAAATAGGATGTACTATGAAGATTTCTCAAAAGACGAATTTTTTTAATTCTATAAAAAAAAGAATATTTTATTTTAGAATGTATTTATTATCGTTATTATTGAAACATTCGCTGAAATTAGTGTTCAATTCCAACAAATGTGAGGTTCAAGAGGAGCAATATCAAACATTGAAGCAACAAAAGTAGATACAATCTTATTTTGAAACACAAATTTAAACTTAATTTTCATATAGATACTGCAAAAATCTGATAATAGTACATTAAAATTAGTTAATATAGATGCAAATAATAAGAAAGGTGTAGCACCAGCTATTTTTTTTAAAATTGTACAAACTCCCGTATTTACAACAATTGTCATGCTTGTTGTGCTTGCTAATACAATCTTTACAGCAACTATTAAACATACACATCAGAGATGTGCACCGCGCGCGCGGAGGCGGAGGCGGAGCGGAGGGTGGTCCGCACCGCTCGCGCGGACCGCCCCGCCCTAATGTCAAACATGGCGCGGTTTTTGGGCGGCCGCACCGCCGAAAAAAATTTTGAGGGACGTCCGTTCCGCCCCCGCCGCTTCAGATAATATGTCCGCTTGGAGGCCGCTCCGCGTCCGCCTCTCTAGGTAATATGTCCGCCGGCGGTCGCCCCGCACCCGCCTCTCTGAGTAAAATGTCCGCCGGGCGGCCGCGCCTTAACATATTAGGTATTAGAGTTTCTTTTTTAGTTTCAACCTCGAAAGAACAAGTCAGTTTAGCGTTTTTAAGTGGGATCTATCTTTTTTTCGAGTTTAGTTATAAATAATAAAACCAGGCACGTCAGCTTAATAATCATTTTATAATGAAATAACATACTATTTTTAATTACTAATACTAATAGTGTCTAAGTAAATTAACATCTATGCTAGGTAGTCACGCATACTAGATATATTGTTCGCTTCAGTTTTTTGTTTCTCTAACAAAGCGCATCATTCTATTTAGGTAATATTTTACCCGTCTCTTTTGCCTCCCTTATATCTTTCCTTCACCTTGTGTCTGTAACTTTTGCACGACTGTAGTTGATAATAAATAACGCCAATCTTTAACAAAAAACAAGCATCAAACATTGAAAAGTAACGGAAGCAGATTAAATCGTTAATAATCATTTTGCTTGAGATACCTTTAACTTTTACCACCTCACTTTCATACTTATTGATTAAATCTAAAGATTGAATACTAAGCAATGTTCATTAAAAATTATTCCGATATTAAATCGACCTATATCTGAATTTGATGAGTTTCATTCGGAAGAATATATTGGGTTGGCGGAATGAAAATTAGACACTAGAAGAAGATATTCAAGAATATCTTAGCAACTTTTTCAGCTAAAAGCCAAAGGAGTTTTATGCTGAAGGCATTCATGCTTTGCCTACGCGTTGGCAAGCAGTAGTAGATAATGATGGCGATTATATAATTGACTAATATTATTTATTTATTAAATAAATAAATTTAAAAAAAAATATTCAAGTGTCCAATTTTCATTCCGCCAACCCAATAGTTTTTAAAGTTATTCTGAACTTGAATTTGTGCAACTCAAGTGTAAAATAAATTTACACGAAAAATAATGCTATATCAATACATACATGTCTAGTTAAATCTTGTTAAACAGTACATCCTTTCATGGCCCCCTTCACTTTTATGTTGTCGTTCATATTTGAATGTTAATAAGTCCTCCTTTATGTGTTGAGCAATACTATAGTGCAATAAGTTTGGAAAAAATAGGTATAATGGATTTCTCCAGTTCTTATCAGGTGGACCGCCAGGCGGGCGCCCGGCGACCGCGCCGCTCCGCGCCTCGTTGCAAAAAAGTGCATGGGCGGCCACGTCGCTCCGCACCTCGTTGAAAAAGAAAGCACAGGCGGCCGCGCCGCCTCCGCCAAAAAGCTCTCTGGCGGTGATCGCCTCTACCACGATTTTGGGACTTCCGCCTCCTTTCCGCGCCGCCTCCGTCTCGCTTTTTAGGCGCGGTGCACATCTCTGATACACATAGTGAAATAATTGATAAAAAAATCGTGAATTTTATCGTAACATTGAGGTAGAAGTAAAATATCCTATTAAAAAAAATAAGAAAAAAACTCATTTTCAATAACATTGGTTTTAGACATTATTTACGATATTTTTTGATTTGGAAGTACTTTTTAAAATCGTTTCAATGGGCTTTAGAAATTATATTCGAAGATCAACATTGAAATTTGAATTTATGCTTGCTGTAGGAACAACTCTTCATTGTTTTCCATCATTCTATCGAAGTGGTTTTACATATTTTCAAGTTCTACGTGTCGCTCGTCTACTTAAATCAATTCCTTTACTTGAAGGTTTTCTTCATAAAGTAAAAAAAAAACAAAAGAAAGATGAAATTGTTTCAAAAACAAAAGTTTGTATTCTTTTTATTAATTAAGATTTTTGGTCCGGGTAGAAAACTTAGTAGTTTAATTTTATTTACAATGTGTTTATTATTGATAACATCATCGATTAGTATGCAATTATTTTGTTTTATTAAAGGTCTTGAACAATTTGAAACATTTCCTCGTGTAAGTTTCTTTTTTTTTCCCTCAATGTTGTATTTGTTCAAAAAAAAAAAAAATACTTCTTAGGCATTTATGTCTATGTTTCGTATTGCTATGAATGATGGTTGGACAGAAGTGATGTATTCAGCAATGGACGAAGTTTATGAATTTGGAGTATTCTTTTTATGTCTCACAGCACTTTTCTTTATTTTTTTTCATTTATTAACTAATTCGGTAAGTTATTTTCGAAAGAATGAAATAAGGGTGTGGGTGTGGGTGTGGGTCTGAGTGGGGTGTGGATGTGGATCTTCCCTTCACTCACCCACACCCACCCCCACCCCCACACACACCCCCACCCCCACACCCACATCCACACCCACACCCCCACACCCACCCATACATCCACACCTCACACCCACACGCCTACACTACCCACACCCACATCCACACCCACATCCTCACCCACACCCTCACGCTGTTTTTTCAACTCTTGTCTGACTGGAGTGTGTGGATGTGGGTGTTAGTGTGTGGGTGGGTGTCGGTGTGGAGTGTGGGTGTGAGTGTGGGTGGGTGTGGATGTGGATGGTTGAGTTTGAGTGTATAGTGAATAAAGAACACCCTCTCACACCCACACCCTTCAGCCTCAAAAGGGCTGCGGTAGCAGCTTCTTTTATTTTTGATTCAGGGGCTATGATTGACTTGCATGAGTAAAATAAATATTTTCATCGAACACATGACAACAACAAAGGCCTATCAGCTAATAACCGGCAAGCAGCTATCAACAGTATCATGAATGACTGAACGAGAACAGATCATACCATTTGAAAGTACATTGTAACGAGAGCAAACCAGTATGGAGGATAAGAAAAATTAGAAAAAAAAAACAAAAATTTCATTCATATTGTATCTTATTGGCACGTGTTGAACAAAATACTAATAGTGCTTTGATTATAATTGGTTACCACAAGATCCAGTCTACTATCACCGTTTAAGTCGTACACAGCGATCGAGCTTGGACTGCCACCAGCTGGAAACGTCTGATATGAAATAACATTACCTTGACCGTCTCCAAGTAATACGGTCACAGTGTTATCACCCAAGTTCGCAACGACGACATCCGGCTTGCCGTCAAAGTTAATATCGCCGATAGCAACTGATCTCGGATTTGTGCCGGTTAGAAAGCTCGCTTGTCCGATAATGTTGTTTACGCCGTCTCCAAATAGTACAGTCACAGTATTATCACCCGAGTTCGCGACAACGACATCTGGGTTTCCATCAAGATTAAAATCACCGACAGCAACTGATTGTGGATTTGTGCCAGTTGGAAAGCTTCCCTGCCAGATAGTGTCGTTTACGCCGTTTCCAAGTAGTACAGTCACAGTATTATCACCCGAGTTCGCGACAA